AGAGCCTCCACCGTGTTTTAAAGATGGCCGTAGACACTCACCGTATAGCTAACGGCTAATATCTAACACCGCTAACTAACACAGTAAGCGCTAGGTGCCATTTTACAGATGGCTGTAGATACTCACCATATAGCTAATGGCTAATAGCTAACACCGCTAACTAACACAGTTAGCGCCAAGCGCCATTTTACAGATGGCTACAGACACTCAACGTATAGCTAACGGCTAATAGCTAACACCGCTAACTAACACAGTTAGTGCTAACTAACACAGCTAACACCATTAGCTAACGGTGCCGCAATCAATGATTTGATTCAAGAATGTCACATTTGGATTCAGAACTCCATAAAAACTGTAGTCAATGATTTTCAATCAAGCTCCTGTGTAATCTGGCATACTTCAGCCCCTTTTGTCCCTCCACTGAAGAGGACGATGCATCTCTCACATCCTCTGTCAGGTCTTTGCTGGATTTTTCCCCATATTTCTCAAGGACGTGACTTTCAGATAATTTTCATCTGCTGTAGTTATATTTTTTTCAGGCTTGATAGTTCTTCTTTTGTCCTTTCCAATTTCCTCAAGTTTTTAAGGACACATGTCAACTTTTCATTTAATAGCTCTTTGGGAATCACCTTGTTGGTGCAAAAATACAATTTTATATCTGTCAAACTGTGCTCTCTTTGACATTTTTTTGTAGATTCAACTAAAGAAATGGGAACAAATGATTTTTTTATTTTTTGCAAGCGGCTGCTCGGAACAAAGTGCCTAAAGATACTATTTAAAATTGATTCTGGTATACCATTGGTCAAATACAAAGACTGGGCTGAACACGAGAGAAAAAGGAAAGAATGTCCGAAGAAAAGCGCTGAAAGATTTTCAGAAAGGCTGAATGACTTTAAAAAAAGAAAAATCACAAAAAGGAAAAAAGTCTGGCTTTTGCACAGCACTGCATATTTTAAACTTTTGGTTTACTTTAAATGTATTAATAATCATAACGTCATGGTAGCACAAAGAGAAGCAATATATTGCTGAATCATCATACACACAAACTTCTACATTGTTGTGAGCTCCTTCAGCTCATTATAGCCTGATGTGTTGCTAGTGGCAGGTGGCCAGTTGTATACTCACGTGTACCCGTGTCACAGCACATACTTTGAGCGACGTTTTTCAGCTCAACATGCTCATTGTCCTGCATGATTATGTCGAATAGGATCACATCAGTTTAAACTGTGCTGAACAGGAGCATTAGATAATAGCTAACGGTCCTGGCTTACAAACAGGCACCTACTAACCACAACCAAAAGCCCCTCATGAAAGACTGAGCTGCAAGCATACAAGCCCGGTGAAAGAATTTCATCTAAAATCCCTTTTCCTTCTGTTTAGCTGCAACAAAGGGACTTCCTCACCCTCCGTTTGCCTCGCCTCACGAGTCAATGACCTTTCTGCTTTTGTTTTCGAGCATCTCTCGCTTTCTGCTGAGAAGGAGGCCATGGACAGGTCGTTTTACACCAAAATGAATCTGTGTGCGCTTGGAGTCAAAGTGACAAATCTGCAGGGTCCCGCAGAGAAAGGATGTGCCAGTATGCCGCGTTCGCCATTGGCTGAGGATGACCTGGTGGGGTTTGGAGCTGATCAGCACTTAACTGGATTTATTCCTTCAACAGCTGTTGTCAGAGACAAAACGTGCCCTCGTATGTAAGGTTTATAGATTCATTATTGTTTCACTGAACCGCATGAATAAATTACTACATAAGATGCTGCAAATACAGCGGACTCGCCGACCCTCAGTGAACAGACGAGCGAGAAGTCCGGGGTTGTGTTACATTATAAATTCAGTTCAACAAACACTTGAAGGCATTTGTTTTTAAGCAAATTCTTAAACCAAGAAGCAAAGTTACACAATACTAGTTGTATTTCCCATGCAGAATTATCCCTTTTTTCCTCCATCCAATGCCCTACTTCAATAGCCTGATAGATGAGGCCAAGGAGAGTAATTTGCAAACAAGCCGTAGTTAGGCCAGCCTCCAAATGATAAAGACATCAATCGTAATA